CCAATGTACACTGAAATAACTTACTGTCATAAATCAAACTTTATGATTTGTTCAAATTTTATGTCTATTTTATTTGTCATATTTGACAGAAAATAATCGAGTATCATATTTTTATTATTATCGTAGTGATTTATGTCATTAAGACATATAAATTATGTAAAAAGTATTTGTTTAGGAAAAAACAATCTTTTCTCAACACAAATTATTTGTTCATTGTTAACTGGGTTGTTACAGATACTTGCAAACTCTCCAGAATCTACGTTAAACACTGATTAGGAAAACAATGTAAGATTCAAATGGGAGTCCCTATGATGGGATTTTGAATGGTTCATCTAACAAGGTCATTTAGATTATTGGATAAATTAAATTATAAACAAAAAAAAGTAGTGATAAACTCTAAAACTGATATCTTGTACACAATTCGGAAAATTTTCTATTTGTTTCTGATCCTGTCATCTCTAATAATTCCCATGACTTTTATCTTTAGAGTGTATTCTGCTGAAAGTAAAGATGTTGGTGATGTGAGAAAGCTAAAAAGACACTTTCATATAGGTGGTATTTACAAGACACATGATTGAAACTTTATCATGTTGAATTTCAGAAAGCTTCATTGATTGGTTTTTACCAATACTTGACTCTTATTATAATGTAATGCATTTATCAACTTTAGAATAATATCAGATTCAAAGTTACATTTTTCGACAGCATTTTATGGGACAGATCAATGTTAAATAACCAACTTTGCAAAGAAATACAACCTTGAAATAAAAAATTTGGAATAATCATGGAAGGAATAAACTGAAAATTGAGAATTTATTATAGGGTTTGGACAAATTAAAACCAATAACAATAATAATATGTTATGGCAACTGAGAAAATCTGAGCAGGTTCAATATTATATATATATATATATATATAATCTATTTAGAATTTTGTTTACAAAAGTTCTATAGATGTAGAAGTTTTATAATATAGCTGAAAATCGATAGTTCGTATATGGATAATCAGCTCATCTATTGAACATTAATCAAATACCCTTGAGAATTAAGTTTTTAAACTCGTTTGATGTACATTTCATAAAAGATGAATCAATAAATAATTCTAGGCGAATATTGTTTCAAATTAGAATCTAACTTGTATTCGATAAAAACTTTAGAAAGCGATTTTCATCATAAGTAAAAATTTATACAATCAGAAAGAATAATTTAGTTATCCTTTATTGAATATTTTAAAAAACTCAAAAATGTCTCAGTATATAATTCTGTGATTTACTGTTTGTCATCTAATTTATGAGAAACCAAATGATGGACTTCGTTATTTAACCCAGTGCTACGCATGATTTGTAATCGATAATTTTTAAGACATTAACATGAAGACAAGTGCATCAAAAGTAAAGCTAATTTCTGTTAAACAACTTGGAAATCATGAACTTATTTAAGTCGAACCACTATTAAAAACATAGAAACACTGAATTAGATTTTCGTCCTCAAATGGGAATACTCAGCACGACCTTATATACAGAGATCGAATCCATGACATCTAGTCTCACGCTCGATAGCCTGAAACTTAGACCACTAAGTTCTGCAATTATTTTTTCTTAGTGAATAATCCCTTCAAAATTTAAACTATTCCGATATAATTATGATATTATTTGAGTATTTGTTTTTCTTCATAATAACTATAAACTACTACTAGTCTGATTGCTGACAAATGAAAAAATTTCAGTGTTCAGTATATCACTCTAATACTGACAGAACATAGTTAAATCTTAATTAAATGTTAAGAAATAAACATTAAATCCATGGTAAATATTGTGATAATGATAACTTTTTATTGTTAGACTATGAACATGATGAACTTGGTTAAATTGAATATTCTATTTTTTTCCCAACTAAATAAAATGACAGCTTTCAACTGTAAGGGGAATATCAAAGCTATAATTATGAAATGAAAATTGAATTGTAATTAAATTTAACCTTTCTTTTAATTGAATCAGGCTGTACATTTTTATATATGGATTCAAATATCTCTCTATACGCAAATTTTGTTGTTCTGATAAACATACGGAATAATTCAGTTGATGATATTCTTAAATTGCACATCACATGATAAAATACATAATGTTTCTTCATAAACAGATATCATACTGTTCTAGTTATATTTCGTCTAAACAAAACACCCCAACTAGTATCGTAAATACTAAGGAAGGAAGTGATTTTTCATAATTAACTTACTAACTAACGTTTACGCAATATTTTTCAATTTCCCAAAACATTTTGTTTTCATCTATCTCATCGTTTACGTTATATCTACCAGAATATTGATTATCGAAATAGTTTGTTTTGACAAAATCTATGGGCTTGTATAATGTACTTGAAAATATGTATCGCGCTTAAAATTTGTTTATGATTTCCCAGATGAGTGAATGAATTTATTCTGTTTTTTTTTGAAAAATTGAATATGCAAACTTTGGAAATTAATAGTTGAAGAGGTAGATGATTCTAGTTGAAGTTAAGCAACTATTTTTTATATTATAAATAATATTTTTGTGATGAAGAGCTTGAAGTTGATTTCAACTAAGAAAATTTAAAATTTTATTTTATCAAACTTTTACTAGGCTACGAAGTTAAAAATTAGTATTTTTAGTTGGCAAAATAACATATTCAGCGAATAAGTGGGTAAAACGATTTTAATAATATTGAGAACTTTACAAATACGATACAAAATTCAGCTGTGAAACATACCATAGTGCTTTTTTCAGTCAACAAATGTTATGCAACTGCTCTTGTGAATAAAATAGTTTGTTCAAAGAAAGATTTACCTATGAAACTGAAAAAAGCATTGATCAAGTTCCTGTAGGTTGGAAACTATTAATTTCGAAATTCACCTCATTTGAAATGAAGAATTTATCCTTCATACACTACAGTAACCATGATGTGATTCCAATTTTAAAGCGAAATTCAATTACGTATTCCTTTTACACTATGTAGCAAACAAATCACATTATAGTGAGAAAATAACTGTTAATATGTTATACCCTCCATCTTTTATTACCTTAATAAAAGACTGAGTCATTCAGCACTATTAAGTAGAATAATAATAAACAACTTTCAACCACTCACACAGAGATACATTGACTGATGAATAGACTTGCGAAATAATTCCAAAACAACTCACTGTCAGTTGTCTGTCCTCCTAAAACACAGTGGGTGAGACAGACAACACACCTAGACTACTTTTATCATCAAACATGCACATTTACATCGATATCATCGCGCGTCCACTGTCATGGTCGTTGTCATTGTCATCATCATTATCATCATGAGGGAGTGAGTGGAGTCCGTGCTACCGGGCATCAGTGGTGGTCGTGGTTACATGGAATGTTGAGAAAATATGGAAGGCTTCACGATTTTGGGTGTCATCCTTGCGCAGCGACAATGCTAATCATCTCTTTATCGTTCTAATTTTAGTATGTGTACCGCCGAAGCGAGTACAGTTTCTCCGCATCAATAACTCACTCTAAGACTACATAACTTGTTTATCTCGCCTTCATACACCATAGTAACCAGGATGCAATTCTTATTTTAAAACGAGATTCAATTGCTTATTCCAGTAAATCCGTCATACCCTCCATCTTTTACTATCTTATTAAAATATAAGCTGTTTTTCAAGTGAAAGACATCTTGAAATTTGAATATGGATTATGAATGCATGAAATTAACTAGAATAACAATAATGATTGATGTAGATAAAAGTCATTTTTGATGTGTTAGTTAGGTTGTCGGTTTAAAATTCTCTTATTGAATTCACTCATCGATTTCCTGTTCACTCAGAATTTTTCTTTCGCGTTATATTATTTTCATATTCATAAAGTATTCCCTCAGGTTGTTTTCGAAATTTTTTTGTTTATCAGCGAGTAAATGTGAACTGGGTTTATATGAACAGTAGTGAAATAGAGCCCATTATTATTATTATTATTATTATTATTACTATTATCATTATTATTATTATTATTGATATTTTACTGCCTTTTAGACAAATATGAGACGAATAAGAATGATATTGACTGTTTCCTATTACCTGTTTTGTTTACGAAATTTCAGTACTGTATTCTTTCGTCATGTGGTATTTTGTTTACGATATCGGCAAACAGTAGTTATGTTCTTTGACGAAAAATAGTTCACGCTGATAAACAGATAAATAATCATTAGCTTTCACAATTAATTGACACCGATTACAGAATTAATTAAAAAATTAAAGAGTATTGAACAACTGTTTCATAGGGAATATCTTAAAAGTTGAAAATAAACATTCACTGATCACTTATTTATAAATTTCTTTTCATCTAAGTGTATAGATAGTTTTCAATCAGAACCTCATTGTTAATGGTTTGTATTGTCATCCTTACCTAGCACTCGTTTCGTAACGACAGTATTGCTTACTCGGTTGGCTCCGGATGCTTCGTAGACACCTATGACCGCAAACCAATAACCCAGGATTATCTTCTGCTCATGGCTATAAAGTAGGATGGAGCAAACTGCTGCACAACAGACTCGTCCTTTGCTTAGTAAATAGATATCTTACGTACGCCAAAAATGACGTAAGTCGGCAAAAGCCTGCCGAGGCTTATATATCCGTGCTGAGCTTTTGTCAGTCACCAGGCCATCAGCACTGATGAGACTCTCGAGGTAAGTGAAGTGGTCAACATGCTCAACTACTTCACTCCATAACTCTAGCTCAGGTATTGATTCGAGCCAATCCTGAAGCAACATTTTGCATTTCGACAGAGAGAATCGCATCCCGAACATGAGCTGTTTATTTTGAAATTAAAAAAAAACATAATATTCAATGATTTTATTTATTGTTAAGAATAGATCTAGACTGTGAAATAATAAATGCATCATAAAAGAAAAAATATATGTATGTATGAAATATTCATTGAATATTAGATTTTTTTGTAAAAACATTCATTCACTGCATAGTTTACAACAATAACAATTCGAAATATTTGTTTTTTTTTGCAATACACTAACAATAATAACAAGAACAAGACTAATAATTTTTAAAATGAATAAAAGAGAATCATTGAAGTTAAATACTAAATAAATGATAATGGAATGCAAAGATTCACAAATAATATTGATCATCATCTATAAAGTTTGAAAATAATAACCAACAGTCAATAAGTGACAGTTTGCTTGGAAAGTTATCAGTGAGAAAGTATCCATTTTTATTATTATTTGTTTTTGCTTATTGAAATTGTATTTCTTGATCATTTGTAATGAATAAGTGTGTGTGAAAAATAACTTAACCAATGTATAAGGAAAATGAACAAACAAACAAACAAACTCGGAAATGATTAATTTTATCATTATCAATTAACAGACTTTAAGTAGACAAGTTGTTTGTTGTTTAAGTTCTGGTAATATTTGTTGACAGTTCTCTGATGATGATGATGATGGTGATAAAATTCTTTCACGTACACGTGTCCTAATTCCTGGTCCACATGTAGCACTGCAACTTGACCAATTTGTCCATTGTGTATAACGACATTCTTGTGGCATTTGAAGCCATTTCTCATGTGAATTATTAGAGTAGTATGTTGTTTGATTAATGTTGGTTGTTACATTGAATTGGTCTAAATTGTTTGTAGCATTATCACGGTATACACATTGACTGAAAATGAATAGAAAATCATTTAAAAAAAGTATTAGGGTTCTGTAAGAGCAGACGATTTTCTTACGTGAATTTTTATTAGTAAATCATTTAACCAGTAGTGATTGTTGGTTTGAAAAAGCTATCAGGATGAGTCATAAATTTTTCATACACTTCGGCACTTCAGTCTTACCAGTTAAAAAATCTAATTTGCAACGAGAAAACACTACTATAAATCTCATTATAATAGGTAATATCACTGATAACACATTATTTAACTTCTATATTCTAGTTTCTAGCATGTAATTTATTAGAAGTCATATACTTGAATTTTTTGTAAATTATTATAAGTAAAATGTAAGAATATCAAAATAACCCATGATTATGTTGTTCATCCTTAAACATGACATCCTAGTCCTCAGACTAAGAAAACACTGGCTTTCAACTTTTGCTTCATGTTACAAAAATCTTTGCGATAATGTTCGATAAAAAAATTTAATGAATAAGGTCTATTCCAATAATGTGCACATATTTTGTTTCTTTATACGTTCGTATCAACCTAATAACATCTGTAAACTAACATAATTTCTGTAAATGAATTCACGGTACTTTTTCATTTCAGTGATGCAATGAAATTTGCGTTATTTTAATTACTGCTTCTAAAATACAATCGTATCATTCCATACTTCCGACACAATCATCACTATGTAATATACATATTCTGAATAAACTAGAATTATTGTTCTGATTTATAATACACTTCGAATTTTAAGCAAATCGATTTTATGCTATCTAATACTTTGTAATAAAATTAAAGAGCATGTATTTTATTATGCCTTGTTTATTCCAGACATTAAATTTCCAAAAACTAAACAGAGAAAATTAATTCACACTGATTATTCACCGTCTTCTACACACAAACTAAATTATCATGTTTGTATCAAAACGTTAATGCTTATTTACTTTTCTATCGTCTGCATAAATGAATGAATTATTTTTGTTCCTCTATTCTGGATTTTAATAAAAACCCACATTTACTGGAAATTCGTCTGTTATAAGATATGGAAATCAATTCAAACGATATTATTTTTATACTGTTCAGTAATCAATTGATATTATTATTTCAAGTTTAAAATACTTGCGTTGTGTTGTTTTCTATCATTGCTTTCCTAAATTCCATTATATATATATATATATATATATATATATATATATATATATATATTTGATTGATACACAATCTTTTCTTTATACGGTAAAAGCTATCATCAAATTAACTATGTCCCAATATTAGAACAAATAAAGGTGTTCTGGTTGGTTATCTTATATGTTTTATTCAAGTAAATCCTTGGCCGGGATTAATTGATATGTATTAAGCAGCCTATATGTAAGACAATACTTTCCATTTTACTGAAGGTTATAAATTCAAAAAAAATCAATAATAGTAATCCCTTAAATAAAGGAAACAACTTTAAAAAAACCTAGTTTCATTTACGTGATTTATATGAGTTCTATCAAGTCTCATTCTCAATCAATAGTATTTACAAAGATTTGGTTAAAATTTGAATACATTGAACAGTTAATTTTGAGTAGAGTGAAGAAATAGGAATATTCTTATCGATATGCAAAACGATTTTAGCTTCTTTTCTATTAAAGATCAATTAAAATAATAGTAATAACCTATTTGTAACATCCTGATGAGTAAAGTTAGGTTTAGGAATTAAAGGGTTATGATTTAAAGATTGGCGTACGTTTAATCTGATTGGTTCACTTTAGGTCATTGATATAGTCTAGTTTTACTCGTAGAAAAATCAAACTTTATTAAATTTTATTTATTCTTTTTACTAAACTCATACATGTTTAAATAACAAAATGTAAACATTAAATCCAGTACAAATATACATGAAGATATTAAGTAAATCTTAGAAATGATACTTATTAAACCGATTAATGATTAGTTTATTCTGATCGGTAGTCGAAACATAGGCACTGAAGGTAGTGTATGCAATGATAACAACTTTTGGAATGAAGCACAATATATGGTGTCTGACTGATTGTAGATAGTTGAAGGTAAAAGCTTTGGCCTGATTTTCGTGCTGGCGATATCAGTCAATAAAATACCTACTACAAAAACCCAAACTATCTTGATAGTTTCTAGTTAATCAGAATATAACATGATAGAAGAAAAATTTCAAAACTCGAAATATTTGAAATCTTCTAGTCTACTAGAAAATTTTAAAATTATAATTAAAATTTACTGACCTTCTACATTCATATTCTGTTCTGAAATTGTTTTCATTCCCATAGCAACCCAGATATTCAAATGAAATACATCGATTTGATTGTTTATCATAATACCAACGATGAGATTTTTTACCTGAATAACAAAAAGAACCTTTAACTAGTGACTTTTCACATTTGTACTGGGACTTTTCGGTTTCTCTTTTAACAATCGGACTCCAAACAGCATCTGCTTGAATTTGCTTGTTTGTACACAGTTGTTCACAATTGTTTCGATCTTTGAAAACATTTCTAGTTAAACTAATGGGATGATTTGCAACCAGTGCTCGAAGATGACATTCCGGAACATATTCAAATTCTTTGCATTGTTTTGTCGCTGAAGAATAGTAGTATCTAGTAGTTAAAATGGAAATAAAAACGATTCAAAAATTCAGTGATAAAATATTAAAAAAGATTATTCAGTATTTGTTTACTTAGTTCTATACAAGTGTTAAAATCCAACCTCTGAAGAGAAAGTTTTTCTTGTTAAGCCAAACAGGTGTATTTTAGCTGAGTGCTTGCCTGAAGCTCCCATTTTTTGCGTACAATTTGTTGACGGTAAAATATAAAATGGCTCGGAGGAGACGTTTATTTATTTTTAATAATATTTGACTCAAGACGTATGATTCTAAAAAATCCCATTAACTTGTATAATTTACCGATTGGAAATCAAACTGAATACTGGAAATCTCAGATTGGTTGTCAAATTTATATTCATCTTTTGTTCATTGAGGCTCATTTGTGAATCCGTAATCAATCTTATACATTCAGGTTAATATATCATCAAACATAAAACTCATTATCCTCAATAAAATGGAAAGTTAAGTAATAATAATAGGTAAGCACATAATAACATTGTGACAGGACCTATTTACTGGAACTTTCAGGAATATTCATATATTATGGTAATGTCTTTCTGTTACTAGTATCTATTCACATCAAATCTGATACTTAATTACTCCTCAAAAGTAACTGGATTATATATATATATATATTATAGATTATTATACAGTTAAACTGCATTTCTAATTATTAGAATTAACAAAATACAATGCATAATATCTCTATCTCTAGTTTTTAAAAAAGTCTATGCTGAATAGACTTTAGTGATAATCGTTACTATTTATAGATATGCATTAAATAAACATGATTTCTTCCTCTGGTACTGTTCTTAAAAAAAATGAAACTTCATCTTACTGGAAAGTAATCAGCTAAATTACTTTTGAATAGGTGGAGATAATCTTTAGAATGTTCTAAACAGCTGAGCCACAACGTTCTGATAAGTTCATTAGGATAACAATCGCGTTTTTCCCTCTTATATACTTTCTGTAGAGTTTTTGATGAATTAACATTCTACATTTGTGAGAAATTTATAAAATACGCGTTCCAGTAACTAGCAATAAGAAGAAATTTGAATTTATTACCAATTAGTGCTTCAGCTTATTTCATAAACAAAATCTGTTGGCTGTGAGGCAACTTATTCGAAAGATAAATATATTTAAATTTACCGCCATGATGTTTTCTTCGCACGCATTTATTGTTTATATATATATATATATTTGCACTGTAAACAGTTGTTTATTTCTAATTTTGGACAATTTAACTTCTCCTTCATTCAAAATATCAATGACGAAACTACCATACTCTTATAGTGTCAAGGTTCAGTTGTTCGCATTTATTTTATTACTTCAGTATGGCAAAAATTGAAATAACAATACCCTCTTTATTACAGTGCGCTGTATGAAAAAGATAGGCTAAAAGATGAAGGATGAAGGTTTTCAATCAAGGAATATTTAATTAAACATTATTATCACTAACTCAAAACCTGTTAATTGATACAATATTACCTAAGAGCTGAAAAACAACGTGCGTCCGATGACTTTCACATTCTACTAGTTTGATTTATAAAGATCTCGAACGTATACACTTAAAATTTGACTTCAGCTTAAACCTAATCAATGCATTCAATTGGTTTGAATTTTTGTATCTTACTTAGTAGTTGACTCAGTATCATTAATAAAATTTTATAGAAGGATTTACACAGTTATCATTGTCTGAGATAACAAAAATCGATAAAATTTATCTACCACTGTAGTGAAAAACACACTGGAATATAAGAAATAATGAAATTACTTTTGAACAAAAGTAATTCTCAAATGAATTGAATGCATGCAAGTCTTGCATTTATTCCATATTATTTCAACTGGTACGTGATGTATATTGTCTGTGTTTGTAAAGCTTTACGTTGTTCACATTGATGCATTTCTATAAAAGTCAACAAACTGCATTATTGAAATGCAGTACATACACTGTAAAATTATTGAAATGATCGAGTCAAGCATAAAAGAGTTGAAAATAATTGTCAGTTTATTGTGTGGCTTATTATTTATTGTAAAATTTTGAAAATGCCATAAAAATTAGAAAACGACTTTAGTTCTCGTCTGCCAGTTTATTGATTTTATAATTCATATTTTGTTTTCACTCTTTCACTAGTCATTTTTTTGACAGCTACAGTTTGAATCCTATTTCGTTTGTTTTTTTTTTAAAAAAAAATTTGAATTGATATAGAATGATCGAAATTAGAATTGAGTTTCATAGTGTCAGAATTAATTAGATAAACTATTTGATTGGATTAAATTTGGATACATTAATAAATATATATATTTATATAACTAATCAGATGAAGATATCGATGTTTTGAAGTAAATTAAATTTTAAAATAATGCTAATTATGATTAACGATTGTTGTTTTATTTGTCATTACTAATCATTTGTTTTGTTAATGAATTCTGTAGTTTGTATTATGGTACACTTTTTACATAACTAATAGATGGGATGAAACGTAGTGGGTTCGCAAAAGCGTAACAGTTTTAATTTCTAATTGTCAATGACCATTATTACTTGTCATCTAAGAATTTCATTAATAAGAAAAACAATTCAATGACCTAGGATATGATGTGACTGAAAACTTTATGTTAAACGTCAAACTATATTAGATGCTTCCTTTCATATAACAGTAAAAAACCTCAAAGTTTACAAATGAAACAGACGACTGATCGATTGCCATTTACAGTGAACGTGACGAAACGACAAAGATTGAACTTCAAATGTTAAGTTCCTGTCAAAGTGTGAATAATTTTCAAGCGAAAATATTTGAAAGATTAGTTTGTGTATTTTACCTAATAATAAGTGTATTTTTAGTAGATTCCGATTACATAGTTGGAGGCTTTTCAACTCTAATTTCCACTGATAATTGTAAAAAGAAGATGAGATTGTAAACACTCGGGATTCGGTTAGAGGGTTCATTGGATTTATTTTCTCATTTGATAGTTCTGTTTGCTATGGTTTTACAGCTACTTCATCTCTAAACATATTTAAGGTCAAAAACTACTGGTAAGAAAGAGTCAGTTTGGTGAGAATTAGAAATTTCGGAATATAGAATGAATAATGCTAAACCAACCGTTTTGTTGTGTTCAATGGTCTAACACATAATCTTTGTGGAGTAGGTGGTTCTTCTAGACAGGCTGTTTGCAATTCTGATACGGAACATTTCAAATTTAATGGTGGCCAACATGTATCTACTTGACTAGCCAAAGGATGCCTTTCACATGCTACTTTAGATGATTGATCAGGAAACCGTCTCCATCGGTAAATCATCCCTGGACGTGTACATGTAGCGTTAATACATGAAGACCATGGACCCCAAGGTAATTTGCTACAACTATCCATAAAATTCATTCTTGTCTGTGGTGTGCTAACTGGAATTGGTCCACAGGTTTGTTTAGCTGTAGGCATATCACAAGCTTTCTCCTCCTGAAAATCATATAAAATACCATTAGAAAATAGTTATCAGTGTGTAAAATTAGGAAACAGTCAAGTGAAAAATTACCTCAGTGTTTTTTCATATCAAATTAACGAAGATAATAAATCAGTTCAGTAAATTTGTGTGGAATTTCTGATACAGTAACAAAGTAAACAACTATCTGTCATGACCGTTGTTCAGTATATTTATACACAGTCTGACAAATGAAGTTAACCTGAGTAGTTGCAAAAACACTTACAATACTAATGAATATAAGAAAGATATTCAGTCAAAATTTATTTTCGAAAAAGAAGCATAACAAATCATTATTGTAACTTTTTTCATCATCAAAAAATTCATGAATGCGTCGTGTGTAAACGATTAGTTAAAGCTTTTTGTCCATTTCATGTCATAAGAAACAGTCAGTGTTTTGTGAACTTCTTTTAATTTTATTATTTATACATTGAGATTTTTTTCAAGAGTCTGAACTAAAATGTGAGGTGACTTCTGCAATTTAATACAAAGATGAAGTAAAAATGGAGAACCACTGCTTTTTCTGGGTGGTCTATCACCAGAAATGGGCTACAGAATTATATTAACACAAACTGAAAACATCGATCAGACTTCAAGTATCAGGTTGTTTTGGATTAATGTTGAAGAGGATGACCGAAAAAACACATTAGGCAGAGAAATAGAGACAGACATGATAAGAATAGACAAAAATTGGACAGAACTGGAAAGGGAGGCCTAGGACAGAGTAAGTTGGAGAATACTTGTCGGTGGCCAATGCTCGATTGGGGATTTCAGGCGTAAGTAATTAAGTAAGTAAGTAAGCAAAATATCCAGATATTTTTATGCTTTTAGGTTTATTACAAAGGAAACTGTGATGGATTTTGAGCCGTTTGGCATAACTTTGGTAATATTATAACATTTAATCGTTTAATTTATAAAAATAGTTAATTATACAAGGTACTGCATTTTACCGCTGTTCTTTGATACCATAAATTATCTTAAATCACAAATATAGTGATATGAGTTTATTTCAACGTCATCGTCAAGCCTTATCAGGTTAGTCCTGTCGAATAATAAGTACCTCTTCATTAATCAAGTTTTATTATTTGTAACAGTCTTGTTTTAATGAATTGTTAGACCAATAAAACCGTACTACATTATGAACTGAAAGATTTCCTATGCTCACTTACACAAATGACTTTATCAATAAAATTGACCAGTGAACTAAAAATGTATGTCAGGTTGAATTAGATTGTTTATACTAATCTACAAGGTCATTGATCAAATAATTTTATATTTAGCGTAGTATATTATAGTTGATTTGAACGATTTCTGTAGCAGGACAATCAATTCTATACATTTGTAAGGCATACATACAAATAAATATTATTCATTTAGAACATATTGGATAAAATATATTACAAGAAGACAGAATAATTTTTATCTGTCCACATAATTCTCAAACTCAGCATTCATAAACTCTTAAAAATGATTTGATCATGTAACACGATAATTTATTCATTCCTTTCCCGATAATGAAAAAATGCCCAGATAAAACTTGAATTTGTTTTGATTGAGAGATTCTTGTTAACTTTCATAGTCGTTTGTTTTTAATTTTCGTTTATTTGAAATGATGTACAAGCTAAAACCAGTTTCATCATAATCATACTGATAATATCCTGCATATGCAAATTGTACAAATTTATTTACCTTTAATTTAGCAGTTAAACAGTCTTCATCATTTGACTGACTTATGCTATGTCTCGTTCGCCACATACGAGGTGGTGTATTGGTCCAGAATGATTTAGCCTCACTAGTAGAACAAGTATCTAAATCAACTTGAGTGCATGGACTCCATGGTGACCATTCACTTAGATGACATCGTGCCACTAGCAAATCATTTGTTGCTCTTCTGCCATCACTCTGTGTTGTACCACTTTGCGTGTCAACAGTTCCTCCATACGAATCACGTCGAGGGAAATTTGATGTTTTTGATATAGCTTGATCTTCCTGAAGTACTTCAGTAGCACAAGATTCATGCTGAAAATATTTTTTTGAAAAGAATATCATTAATAAGTAACTTGAAGCATGTAAATAAATATATATTACTAATAGTTTATGTGTATCCACTGATCGATCTATTAATAAAATTATATCTTACATATCAGGCAACATTTTCATTGCATTAAAATGCTAATTAAATATATTATATTACCAATTATTTATTATTATTATTGTTTCGTTTGCTTCCCTTCCTTTCACTTTTAATTATTAAATCCATAAGTTTTTCATTTGAACATCTGGGGAAAAATCGATTTGCGCTAAATGCATACATAATTCTTAATGTACAGTCAATTTTAATAATTTTAACCACTATTGCTTACAAACATTCTGCATTTCAGAATAACTTTTTTTATTATCCGAATTCATTATGGTTGAATGAATTCAATTGTTAGGGTGATTAGTTGCTTAATGAAGTGTGGCATAATTATTTAAATTTATTTAAATAGACAAATGATGAATATGTTATGAAGGTTGATACAAGTTACAGAATCTATGAATGTCAATTGTTTTTGGTGTTATTCGAATCATTTCATTTTTAATACTCCCGTTGATTCTTTCAAGTAATTTAAAGTAAGTGAAAAAAAGTTCTGATTCAGTATTACTGAGAATGGTCACTAGGATCAGTTAAACAGATTTAATTTGAAATAAATATGTAGCTAAACTATTTATTTATTCTCATTCTCAGCATTGTTTTCTTCTAATGGGAATGAATAATTTAACCTGAAATAATCTATCTGTTGTATAACCATTTTGTAGGATAGAACATTTTATGAAATATTTATAAAAATGTAGTAAAATAATTATTGAGAAGATTCTGAAGTTCAATAGTGGCATTTGATGAATGCTGCGTTCTGGTTATGAGAACTCAAAATAGTGAAGTAATCAGCTTGATAAATTGCATACACAATCGATACCAACATTTCAGTTTAGAAGATTTTAGCCTATAAAATTACTAACAATTTAATAAAAGAATGATCGAACATTATTCTAACATTTTTCGGGATATTGAGTTATGTTGAGATTTTTCCTGTTTTGTTGTCTCAAGTTATTCGTCCATATTCATACCAATTTGATTAACTGGTCTAACATATAAAAGAATGACTTTAAGAGGAGCTATTTTTTTCCCCTGACATTGCTGTTTCTCTCAGAAATCAAGTCCAGGTATTTTGGTTTACTGTTAGTTCTATGGGAATCAACTTACGATTACACTGATCATTTAACACGTATTTTATTGATCGAAAAATATTAGTTCTCTATAAATATTATACTAATCAATGAATAAAAATAGCAGATTTATTCAGTGAGCACCTGTAACTTCTCATTTATTAATCAACTGATAATTTTTACTTCACTTAAAAGTCACATTCCATTATAAACAAGCTCAACCAGTAGTTACATTTATCTCTGTCAAATCTGTTACAACCATCTGCTTATTAGATTAAATGTGCTATTTACTTGTGTAAAAAATATTTGATAAATTAAATTATCTTCCATTAGATCGTCTCTATACACAAGTAACAGTGTAATTAACATCTTGTCATATGAGTCAGTTGGATTTATTTACTTAGATATTTGTCCTTTATTCATTCTATTGGAAAACATTACGTTTTAAATACAGTGTAGTTACATTTTTTTAAAAGTGCACACTCAGTTATTATAAAAGGATCTTCGTATAAAAGTTTCATTAGTAATAGCTGTTACCTCGTTTATGCGTAATAACTCCAGTTCAACAGTGCCAAGTCGTGCAAATTGTCTACGCATTCGTCCACTGGTGGATGGAATATTTAATAGATTCATTTGATCTGACATTGGTAAACCTAAATTAGGATTTCTAAATGTATTTGAACCACTTGAATGTAGATTAGGTAAATTGAATGAATCCGAGTTTGGCAGAGATACGTAATCAGTTAAAACAGTGAAAGGAGTATTTGGTCGTAGATCAGGTGTAATTGGACACATTGGCTTGGGTTCTCTTAACCTTTCAGAAGTTTCAATTGGAATATATGTATTTCCAGTCATAACGCCAGCATCCCATGGCTCTAAACGAAATTGCATCTTTAACGGCCATGAACAGTTTGGCAGACATATATCTACTCTTGATAAACCTGTACACCAATCAGGACTTGGAACTATACGTGATAAAAATGATAACAGATGATGAGAACTGTTGACTGCAAACAGAGCAGATCGAAATCTGTTAAAAAGTTGATAGATTATTTAACATGGTTAAATGTTTTCTCAGTATATAAATAAAATTTAAACACAAATGAATAAAAAGTAATTCGTGATTTTCTTTACATTTACTTTAAAAATCTTAACAGATTACATAAACCGCCGATTCAGGCGGAAAGATGATCAAATCATTTGAAATCTATCTAGTTGCCAAGTTGTCTTTTTTAATATTCATGGAATGACTGAATGTTGACAACACATTGACTCAGCTAAACATCTGACTTCTAACTAAGTTTTGATTTTTAATCGCATAATAAATGTTTTATCCTAACTTTTATAGGCATGACTAGAACTTTTACATTTGTGCTTCATTTAGCTAGGAATGAGGTAAAACTGAATAATGCAGCGAGTCGACTATTCAGCAAATAATCTGTTCACTTTGTTTGTTGCCAATGCAAAGGATGGTGATGAAAAAATAATAAAAAGTACACTGTTATCGTAATTACAAGAGCGAATAGCCCTCGTTCAACGAATGACATATAACACTAAAACCTGATGTGGTTTGTACTAGTATGTTGAGCCTACACGGTTTGTCTTAGCTTTTGAACAAATTGGTTAACCTGTTTTCTCGAGTCATTATTCACTCGTCTTTTGATCATGACAGTTATTCGCCTAAATCTTGGTTTTTTTCTTACTTTAGTGTGCAAGCGCTTAGCGTAGTTGGGTTATCACATATCTAGCTTATATTTGTCTGACTGCAAACACTTGGTCATGTCACATCACACTGAACTGGTTCACATTCGTGCCCCACTTCGCTTCGCTTTTACGACTCTCTTTATTGTCTGTCTGCGTACGTGAATTTAAGAAATAAATTCATCCGAAATAAACTTTATTGAGCTTTAAATCACTGTTGCTGTACAAACAGGGTTCGCCTCAGAATGATATACGAAAAAAAGAAGAAAAATTATCTCATAAAATATTCAATCGTTCGTCCGAACTGGAATCAGATCCCGGGCCACTGAAATGACTAACTGCACAATTTTGTGTGGGTTAAATTCTCATAACGATTTCGTGAATATGTCATAACTTTTGTTGTTTTATATTAGAATTGTATGAATTCAATGTCTAAAAGACAGTAATTTTAGACACTATTCATCACAACATTTATTCGTTAGTTAGCATATCACCGTTTCACAATTTTATAAGGGAGAATGATATGCAGAAGTTTAAGAAGACTTTAGTTACTTTTCAATTCCAATAACACTGTTTACCACCTAAATCTAGCAAATCATATGCTAAAATGCCTACTGAACTATTCTAGTTGTAACCCTTGAGAATCTTATACTAGAACTGATAACATTTCAGAGTAAAATTTAAAATAAAATATTCTTCCTGAATTAGCTAAGCGATAAATTCGGCTTTATTTAAAAGCTGCTGGTGTACACTGAAGTCGGTTTCATGTTTACTAAATATTTATAACTTTTCGAAATTAACAACAATCACGAATTTTTTATAATTGTAAAAAATTGAAAATACTCAGTGATTGCAATTGCTTACCTTTGTTCAGGTGGAGCCATAGAATCAATACCCCTTGTACGTATAACAGTTAATATGTTCTCTCCTGCTTGATTACGAAATTCGCTTTCTAATTTAGATACATCACTTGTAGTGCACAATGCATCTACAGCTGGCGATGCATAGCCACCTGCATGAAATATGTCATATTGTGGACTGTGTGAAGCACCTGAAAATTATTTGAATTTATAAAAAAAATATTAATATATTTCAATTATTAATTATTGACAATGATCAATCATACTGAAAATTAAATAAAAAGATTTGACATAAGGGCACTGTTAAAAAAAACAATATTTAGCCTGAAAATAATTACTAGAAGTTCAGCATAATGATGAGCTTATTGCATAATAAGCTTCACTTTCTTAGGCACAAAATTATTATATATAAATCAGGAAGAATTAAAGCAAGACTCAATTCAAAGGGATATACTTCTGTTAGGAGAGGTATAACAAGCAGGAATGGAACAGTTTCTAAGAGCATTTGAATTTATGACAAGCACAATAAACTACATTTTAATAGTATATACAACAGAACAGTTAAGGTTAAATATGTAGATTGTGACTAGCAATCGAATACAGTAAGATGGATTGATTTTTATGAGAGTTGAGGTTGATTTTTAACTATTGCTTACCATATAACTGACTTTTAAAAGAATAAGAGACTGTTCGAAGATTTAATTTGATGCACTCTAATTTTATGGGATTTTGAACAAATTACCAACAAGCATCTGTTAGCTATAATGATGTATGGATTGACTGTATTTACTAACTGTTCTTGAATATTGGTCAAACTAATATGTTTTTACTTTCAAAGAATTTTGTTTAAAAATCACCTACTGACCTTGAATACCTTTTGATATCAACATAAACTGAAATAGGCGTGTAAACTATTGATATCAAAATACTTAGAGTTTAATACTTGACACATTTTTTTGATTATCAAGAAGTATGTATAATTATTGTTTTCTTGTTTAGTTCTTGTATGTTTACTGTCCTCATTTGTGATGGTCTTTAGTACGCTTTTACCGAACAATAAAGAAATTATGTTCTTACTTCGTTTACAGTGAACAATGGAATCTTGTATAATAAGTTTAATTCAAGGTATAAAAATAAAGAGACATTATCTGTCGGTAGAATCTGATGAGATTTAATTCTGCTTGAAAAAAACAATCACCATATAATGAAACTAGTTTTTACTGAAAAAAGAACCTTTTAAGTGAACCCTTTTATAGCTTTCTATAAGACCAAATGAATCACGAATAAGTTGTGAACTATCTTCTATGTGCTATTGTTTTTAACTTTTATTTTGCCCTCGTTAATCCGTTCTTTTAGTCAGAATTTAACTAAGAGAGTTTAAACTCTTTCCTGTACATATTTCAAATAATCACGTATTATCTCAATAGATTTAAACTCTTTGAAATGGAAACTGACAAACATGATTATTTCAATTTTTTTCATTTGATAACGATGAAATTTATCTTTCTTTTAAACAATAAAATTATATGTAAATAAAGTATTTGATGAACTCAAGTTCAATGTAAGGTCATTGAGAAGCAAAATAAAATTACTTTGTTAGATAAAAGAAAACATAACCTGAGAAAATTCATTCTTGCCTAATCGATTTCATAAGACTGGATGTCATTGTTTATATTTATGTATAAATTAAGTTTATAATGATACATTTTATCATCAAATAAGAAACAAATGAAAAGTATAAATTATTCAATGAAAAAATAGACAAAGTTCCCATTTACAATTTCTCCAGATTATGAAAATCGAAAAATACCTTTTTTTCCTTTACTCAAAAACTCTTGATTAACTTTTCATTTTACTGCATTTACTGCTTACATCACTTTTAAGAATCAAACTGACCAGATAGAGATACTCAATACACATAGTGAAGTTCATGAAATTCGCGAACGAAGAAAACGAAGGAAGAATAGCGTTTCCTGATGTTCAACTTACAATGAAAAGCGGATGGGTTGCTAAAACGAAAATCTGCCAAGAAGACTACTTATAATGACCAATATACAAATTTTATTTTTCTTCACAATATTAGGGAAACCTGATCAAGTCAGTTAACTATAAAATCAATACTATATGCTCAGAACAATCAAATACATTATGTACTACCCTGAAATAAAACGGGTATCCTGAGAAAATCATAGCTAAGTACTTACCAACGAAAAATCAACATAAGGAAATCCTAACTGTAATCAAAAATTCTCTGAATATGTGGCTACAATTTAGAGGCGATGCAGCCAGTGAAATGCTTATACTAAAGCTATACAAAGCAGCACGAAGAACCTTTAATTAAAATTGATGTTTTCTAAACTTCCGATGGTTACTTCAATCTTAAAAGTTAAATTGCCTAGACTAACCATTCTTTTCAGTATCCCTCGATTAATTCGCCCCTGTGGAGCAAGTTACATTGGCAGACGTTCGATGTATTTGTATTTTCGTGCTTGTTAGCACCTCACAGTGTGGTTAAGCAAAGGTATAGTTAGATCTTTTAACAGCTCGATTTTGGTTCACTTAAAACACACGGACCCTACAACCAATCCGCCTTAATCTGTTAGACTAAGAATTCTTCAGACTACTGGTGCAAAACCTACTCAAATCAAAAAGCTAGAGCTTTACATCCGTAAGAAATACGTTTAACCATTCCGTCTGCCTTGACTGACTTCGGGCCTAATCATTTAACCATAATTTTGATGGTAATAATTTGATTAGTGTTCATGCAACCTTTCTCTCTGTATTTTCGTAGCTTAAATTTATCTTATTCACATAACCTATCGTTAATACTGTAGTCATTATTACCAGTGTGATTATTATTATTATTGATATGGCTATCACTGTTATCATTATCATCATAACGCTTGCAACCTTTTGAGAAATTTATTCAGCATCCAATCCAATTCACTTATTCCTATATTACGTGATTCCTAATCTGTCATTACATTATAATTTCTTTCATACCTTCCTAACCATATTTAATCTGATTCGTAATCTCACACTTTCATTTGACGTAAAAAAATCATTCAAATGAAAACTTCATATTAATCATTCCAACATTGAGGATTTGTATTGTAAGCAATCCAAAATTCAATTGCTGTCATTTTAAACTATCTACTGGGCCTTAAAACAAGCCACTTTTTTGGATTACTGATTTGGATCTATAGAACTATAGAACCTGGAAACAATATTTTTCATTCATATATCTGTGTATTTTAATGCGATAGGAATTGTTCAGAGTTAGGTTATCTTTTAGAAACCAAAAAGTTAGTGCATTCAGCCTTGGAAAAATGGAAAGAATTACGGTTTTGAAAAACATGGTTTATTGAATGAATGAATGAATGAATTAGCAAAAGTCTCTAAATTAGGAGTACCTAAGCCTTTAAAACTAGTGTCTTTCAACATTTGTTTATAAATGAAGATACGGTGGTTGCAATAAAATTCAACCACTTTCGTAATATAGTCATCTCATTTATTCTCAGATAAAACTAGGTGTAGACTACAACTGTCAACATTTTCGAGGGAAGTTAGGGAATAATTTGAGTATTCAGACATTGAGAAAGTAAACACGAAAGTTCCATACTAATTCTTTATAAAAAATAAGCACGCAACAGCAAGTCATAAATATGCTATAGATGAATGATAGGAAAGTAGACTTTAAGTTAAAAAGTCTCAAAGCTACTAAGATAAATGATACAAGTAAACTTATGAATGTGGAAATCTTTTTTGAAGCAACACACAGTTGAATTCATTTTCGAATGGGCGTAAAAAATTGACCTAGATATATGAAAGTGTATACATTTTTGAGCAATACTCACTGAGATGAGCATACAGGGTTTAGTGAAGTTGAAGCAATAAAATTAGTTAAATATTTGCTTTGAAATGCGATACTGTTTAGGTTACTAATTACATACAGACATGCATAAACTAATATAAATTTAGCAAACATGCTAAAAATACTTAGTGTTCAGTATTAAACAGAAACAGAAAGATAAATATATAATAATCGACCAGACTTTTTCATAAGTGACTGCCTGTATCAAATAATATTATTCGAAACACAACCCATAATTGTAACAGACTTTTCGTAATATGATGATTTAACACAACTGCCAGAGTTTATTCTAATCGATTCTCGCCATAAATCATCGATTAATGTACTTGTTTCACTGTGTAATAAAGATGTACAAACCGATTAATTACTTTAAGAAGTAGAAATATAAAAAACAAACCAAATGCCAAATTATGTCACTTAAAGTAATCTGCCTCATTGTTAATACAGTATCCAGAAACGGTTGATAAGTGATTCATGAGTGTAACGATAAAATATGCTTCATAAAGTATATACTGCTTAACAATCGGTATAAATATTTGGTATTAATCAGAAGTTTAATACGGTTAGGTTGCAATTATTGACGTTAGAGAAATATATTGTTTTGTTTTCTTTTAGTACAAGCTTCTTCAGCCATGAGCACTCACAACCTCATTAAAGTTTGAATTCATTATCTTCAGATCTCACTGGAAGCCAAACTTTCGAAATTCTGATTGGTTTAATGTCTGCAGCGAATTAGAGCTAACCAGTGCAAGTTCCTTTGTATTCTCCAGCAGGGAGTTATGGTTAAACCAACTCTGAAATCAACAGAAGTTTTATGTTACTAACGTTGACCAAATTTTAGTGAAATATTGCCCATAGAATTTATGTTACTTATATTTAGCCAGTAGTAGCGTTTGATTTCAAAAAATTGTCAAGATGGTTCAGATAATGGAAATAAGTTTTGGGTAGATTGTTGTATGGTTACTGTTACCTGATGAACATATTGGAAACGTTTTCATTGTCCCTGTATACGAGGTTATCATAAACGTTAGGTTAAATAGCTACCTAAATATTACATCAAAAATATACATATAACAATATTGTTGGAGACTTTGTTCTCACAAATAAACAATATAAGAGTGTACACAGCCTTGCTGGACAGTGCGTATATAAAGATGATCTATTTTAGTCTGAAATAATAATGAGTGAGATGATCTAGTTACAGAGTTATTCAGATTTTGTACATTTAAGATGTTTCACAACTGTTTGTTCTTACATTTATTACTTACTATACATTACACTGGTTTCAAACAGAAGTCAATCACAAGTGGTGTAGCG